TGGACACTCAACTGATTGGGCCACCCACGTAACCCCCACACTTTTTATTCTGTATTTGTTTCTGCATGTATGCAATGAAAAAACCAACAGTTCACACTCATATGGATGGTATTTTGGGGTGACAGTGGGGTTCAGAGCTGATGGCCAAGAAAGAATTCTTGAAGACATCTTTGGTGCAAAAAGGTGATTTTATTAAAGCATGGGGACAGGACCCGTGAGCAGAAAGAGCTGCACTTGGGTTGTGATGGGTACCTGATCATATACCTTCAGGTTGGGAGGGGGTGAGGGATAGAGTACATTTCTAAGGTATTTTGGAAGCAAAATTTCCAGGACTTTGAGAGGCTAGCTATTAGGAAAACACCGTTTAGTAAAACCTCAGTCATGAGGCCCTTCGGATATATATCAGGGGGCCATAAGCTTGGAGTATGATTGCCAGCATATATCTTGGGCGAGTCGAGACAAAGGAAGTTTCTAAATGAATTTTTATAGATTAAAGTAGATTTACACAATCCTGGGGGTCAGGATAATGTTAAGCCAAAAGTCCCTTTTGCCCCTAGCAAAGTGTCATCATTGAGGCAGCTGAGCTCCTAGAGGGAGGTCACTCTGCCTATTTCAAGAACTTGTCAATGGGCTGTAGGCAGTAAGGGAATTTAATTTTCCATTTGCCTTTGTTTCCCACATCACCAGGGCAAGCACTTAAACCTCTTTCCTTGGTTCTTGGGTAGCCAGGAGTGTCTGGGGGAATATCACACAGATCCCACCTGGTGGGGAGGTGGGGGGGATGTTAGCCTGTACTTTGTCCTCAGCCTGCCCCATGCTCCCTCATCAGTATACTTCTGCTGGTTTCAAGTACAAATGAGTTGTTAATGAAATAATCATAAGACTTATCAAGGAATTGTTATCCCACTGACACTGTTCATTATTACAGTTCAACCAAATATATTCTGCTCTTCCACTATAATTAAGAAATTTGTATTGCTGAAAACCAATAAACAAAATCATCCATTCCTTCCGTTTACATGGCTATAAAGAGATATTCAAATTCTATCATGTGCAGCATTTTTCACATTAAGAAGATATTTGACACACTGGTGTTTGAGAAGAGGATGGCCCAATTTGTAAGTTGGGAATTTACAATTCCCCTAAAACCAGCCCCTACTGCCTTGACAAGCTAATTGGATAGATATTCCAACACCAGTAAGAGCACCAAATAAAATTGGGACAGAAAGCCTCTTTTTTTTTTTTTTTTTTCAACGTTTATTTATTTTTGGGACAGAGAGAGACAGAGCATGAGCAGGAGGGCAGAGAGGGAGACACAGGGCCGAGCAGGCTCCAGGCTCTGAGCCATCAGCCCGAAACCCAGTGGCAGACTCGAACTCCCCGGACCCATGATGACCTGGCTTTAGTCAGGGCAACAACCGGCCTTCATGCAAGCCCAGTGACGCTTAACCGACTGCGCCACCCAGGCGCCCCGAGACAGAAAGCCTCTTAAGAGTTAGAGGCCAAAAACAGCCAGGAGACAAACAAGGTAACAGAAAGGCCAAATCTTTAACTTCTAAAGGTTAAAAACAGCATCAAAACCAAAGAGCAAACCAGGAAATGCGCTACAAGACTAAAGGGAAGACAGTGGCAAAGATGAGAACTCAGCTCCTCACCTAGTCACTCTCTAGCCCTGCTACGAAGCCTGTTTTTACTGTGTGAACACAAGAGCTGAATTCATGGCTTTCTCAAAAGCCCCTGGAGGTACAGCCTCATTTTCCCACCAGCTGCTGTCTACTCACACAGCCCATTTCCTGAAAGCACAGTCCCCTGGGACAGGGCAAGTGGAGGTTCTGCCACTCCTCCATGGAGGAGGGATGGCAGGGGCTCCAGAGCAGAGACAGAGTCCAGGTGCTGCATTGATGTAAAATCAGAGGGAAGGATATGAAAGCAGGCTTTGTGCCAACCCAAAGGACATCTCCCTTGATAATCTGCATCTTGGACCCATTTTAGTTGTCTTCTGACCAAATGGGAAGATTATATCCCCCATCTTGGAACAGTTCCCACACTGGGCAAGACTCTGCATTCACAGCACATCATGACTTATTACAAATAGTGACAGAGTGGGGCGCCTGGGTGGCTCAGTCAGTTAAGTGTCCAACTTCAGCTCAGGTCACTATCTCCCAGTTCGCGAGTTTGAGCCCTGTATGGGGCTCTGTGCTGACAGCTTGGAGCCTGGAACCTGCTTCAGATTCTGTCTCCCTCTCTCGCTGCCCTCCTCTCTCTCTCTCTCTCTCTGCCCTCCTCTCTCTCTCTCTCTCAAAAATAAACATTTAAACTTTAAAACAAAATAGTAACAGAGGCTTTATTTTTTGAGGAGTGTGATGTAGAAAGTTAGGGGCTAGGAAAATAGGATGATAAACACTCCTTTGTAACAAAGCCTCCTGTAAAACAAATGCAAGACCTACAGATCAAGTTCTCCTCACAGCTCCTTCACCAAGGCACCAAGTAGCTAAGTGTTAGAGAGCTTCAAAGAAAGAGTTAAAAGAAAATTAGCAACCAAATATTATCAGTTCACAATATATCCTCCACTTTTCCCACTTCATAATTAGTAATGATAGATGTGTGAGACCTTAGACAGCAAATGTACAGACCCGTGACTTAAGACTTTGTTTTTGCCTTTTCTGTTTCCCTACCTACTACTTCCCACCTTTGCCTTCCTCAGGCTCTGGACCTGTGTGCTTGTGATAAGGTTTAAAACTCATAAATGAAGCAGACAATATAAAGATACAGATTTTAAAGATAAAAACACACTTTTTTAAGCCTCTGAACAGCTCTCCTTACTTGCTTCAGGTCCTTACTCAGGAGGCTGGAGCTTTCCACATGCACAGAGCATTCATTGCAGGATTTCAGGAACAGGAGAGAAGACTGAAAAACCACACAGAACTTTACAAGTCAGCCCAGCAAAATCAAGATCCCACCAAAGAAATCAACTAGACTTCGAAAGTAACATTCACAAATGCTCATTTATATACTCAAAAAAAAAAAAAAAAAAAAAAAAAAGGTAGGAAGATTAGGTACTGAGAACAATCAAAAGGATCACACACAAAGCAGACAGACACTGGCCCACAGAAAGTGTTCAAAAATGTTTTTGCTGAGTCCTTATAAACTCAGTAACCTCAAAAAAGCCTGGAAGCCTTGGCAGAAATACCACACACACACACACACACACACACAAACTGTATAAATGAAAACTATCTGCCTACTCACCTTTATCTAAGCTTTGCAAACTATGAATGTGTCTTTAGTTACTTCAAAGGTTCCACTAACCTCTGAAAACAATTAAAACCACTCTAAAAAAAACATGTCATTTGGCACTTTGACAGGAAGGAAAAGATAGGTGCTAAGTGTGACTTCAAGGTGTGAATAATGAGAAATAAGTGTTTTCTCACCTTAGTTTGCTATATCTCTATTTCTCTTAACTTAAAAGTTACCTCTTGGGTGACAACTATGTGTTTTAGTGAAACACCTAATACCCAAGACTAAATCTTACAAATAAGACATGCTAAAGATTGCTCTTGATTACAGTAAGAGAATCAGCCATAATTTTCTTCTCAAGAAGGCAGGTGAGTAATGAAATAAATTAAATCTCTTTTCTACTTTTGAAGTGTAAGTTATTTACCGACTTGTATGTGTAGATAAAAAAGGTGTCTCTGGACAAATACAAACATTCTAAAAGTTATAAAATTCAGGCTATAATTTAAGCTAAAATAGGACATGAAATATTAGGAGTAATACAATCATTGCATTAATTTCTACAAGAAAATATAGAGTCCACCTAATTTTACCAAAGCAAAGTATTTCCAAGCATGTACCCCTCTTGAAAAACACCGTATGATCATGAAATTGATACTATAAAGAAAATCCTAAGGTCTACCACCCTGGAACTGGTTCTTCCTGCAAAATATATAAATCCTGACCAGACAATACCAAGTATCTCATCTCTAGCTGCTAACAGATGCCTATTATGAAGAAATGTGCATGAGCTGAAATAAAATGATTTATAAAACACACATCTGTCAAGGCAAGGTACAGAAGGACACCAAAGAGAACATTAGGTCCTAAAAACAGAAATTTAACAAAAAATTCTAATTCTCAGAAAATAACACTAGTTATAAATAGTCTTGATAAATTTTTTCACCAAACTTTTTATTTTAATTTAAAATGAAATATATGTAGGTACTGAATATTCCTGTTAATCGCCAGAAAAGTCATTCATTCACAATGTCCCAACAAAGTAAGATATTATTAAATATCTTATTTGTCTAATTTTCCACTGATAAGTTCTCAATAACCCAGCTTCAGGAAAGTAACAATGAGCACTTGATAGGTAAAAGACACTACACAAACTGACAAAGTGATCTGGATTTGATTTCAGAAGATCTCCATTCTTTAAACTTAAGCACTGTCAGGGACACTCACACTACCTTTAATATTAAAAAGTTCCAATTTTACATGTTTAGATTTTGCAAAGACACAAACTAAGTAATCCAAAGTAAGTAAACTTCTCAGAAATAAAATGCTTACATAAACATGATGAAAGTAAAGAATTATTTCAGAACTTTTATGTCCCATTCGGTCAATTACCTCTTCAGAGACATCAAGTTGTATACTGGTCCCCTGACAGTGTTCATCAGCCTCACCCACAGAAGCAGGTGATCTAGGAATTGTCTTGCTCTGATTCATATCTGAGAAAGATAACATGAGGAGGAGCAACACATTCTGAACAATATTTCTGTTGGTCCAGGAAACATCATAAGAGAGCAGCCTGGGTGCTTTGGATGAACAGCAGATCGCTGAACTCTCAGGCACACTGGATCAGATTCCTGGAAGAGGAGCAGGAGAACCTGAATTTTCACCTAACTCCTCCAGCTGATTGTTAGACATGCTCAAGTTTGAGAGCTATTATTCTAGAGCTCCCATGGATTATACAACTGAGCCCTCAAGAAACAGTAGGGCAGCTGACAAAAAGGAACAAAGCCTGTTCCTCTCAGGCCACCTCCACTATGCCTACAGCAAAAACTACAACCACAAAATACCTAGGAAAATGTACTCTTAGCATTTCTGGTTTATTGGGAGTATTTTACAAGTGGTGTTAAAGTTGTTGGTTGCTATTATCGATGGCTTTAAATTAGTTCAGTGAGTAAAAACAATGCTATTAACCGTGAAGTTGTTTTTGGACTCAAGCATTGCAAGAAGTACAGTAGGAAGCAAGTCATTCCTATTTTTGTAGCAAGTCATTCTCACAAACACGGGGTAGGGTGTTTATCAACAGAGAATGCATGAGCTGAAGAATCTGAGTGAATGCAAATTACCTTTGTTCTTAAACACAGAACATTGGAGAATAAATGATTCACCCAGAGGCATCTTCACTTTTATAGTTTTAAAGGTATTTATGCATTCTCTACTCCCAACTCACCTACCCACATACCCCACAGTCTCTGATCACCAGCTTCTGAGGATTAAAGTCTTGTTCTATTTTTACATCTACAATTGGAATAAAAAGATCAAGTGATAAACTACAATTTTTAGGTTGAGTTCAAATAATACTTAGTATTAAGAGTTAATTTTAAGAATGCTTGTTTGGGCTTGCTAGAAACCTAGAAACTGACTTGTTTCTGTGGAAAAATAAAAGAAAAGTTCCAAATAATGATAAATAAATTTTGGGGATTCACATACGAAAGTTAGAGATTGCCTATACATTTTATTCACACATGATAAAATCTGGCTAACTGAGGTTGGTAGCGCACATAAATTTCTGAACAAAAACTACTGAAATGAGTGATTACAGATCCCTAATTTTGCTTAGGAAAGCTGAGAACAAATCATCTTTTGTACAAGAGCACCTCAGTTAAAAAATGTAAGGAGATGGTGGTATTATTAACACTTCCCTTATCTGGAACATAATAATCCAACAAACACATATTCAGACAAAAGAAAATAGATTTTCAGGGTGATCAAAGTATACATGTTCAAAAGCCCATGCAATTACATATCTATAGGTTAATCAGAAGAACTGGAACTTCAGTGCTCTTATATATGACCAATGGGGGAAATGTTATTTTCTAAGTCAGTAACAGTCCCAATGGTTTATTAGTGAGAAGGGTTAAAGGCAAGCAGACAATATTAAAAATCAAGAATGACAACCCCAAGTCTGACAGTAAAGACAAATGATAAAAGATAACATAAACAAAGGTAAAAGACAAGCATAGGGGCAGCTGGGTGGCTCAGCTGGTTAAGCATCCAACTCTTGACTTCGGCTCAGGTCATGATCTCAGTCTGGAGATCAAGCCCCATGTCAAGCTCCACACGTGGAACCTGCTTGGGACTCTTTGTCTCTCTCTGTCTCTCTCTGTCTCTCTGTCTCTCTCTTCACCTCTCTCTTTCTCTCTCTCTCAAAATAAATATTTTTAAAAAAGACAAGCAGGGGCACCTGGTGCCTCTGTCAGTTAAGCACTGGACTTCAGCTCAGGTCAGTGAGTTCAAGCCCCACATTGGTCTCTGTGCTAACAGCTTCAGGCCTAGAGCCTGCTTCAGCTTCTGTGTCTCCCTCTCTCATCACCCCTCCCCCACTCAAACTCTGTCTCTCCCCCTCTCAAAAATAAATAAACATTAAAAAAATGATGTTTTTAAAAAAATAAAAGAGAGACAAGCATAGACTGGGAGTGAATATTTGCAATATATATTTAAATATCCAAAATATAACAAATTCCAACAGATCCATAAGAAAAAGATACACCCAACAGAAAAAGAGGCAGATGATAAAAACAATCTGAGAAATGTAAATACAAATGACCAATATACATGAAATGATGTTCAAACTTGCTAATAATCAGTGAAACACAAATTAAAACAAAAGTTGCCGAGTTTTACCCATAATATTGGCAATTAAAGTTTATGAAAATAATATAATTTCTTCATATGAAAGTAACAAACAACAGTCTTGACTTCATAGGGTTCTTGCAAGGATAAAGGAAGATAATATATGTGAACACCTTAGAACACGGGCCCAGGACATTATGAATGTACAACAGATGTTAGTTGCTGCTGTCATCATAATTATTATATTTGTATTTCTATATTATTTGCTTTATATCTCTCTCTTACTTATTCAACTGTAAGTCCTTGGAGTAAAGGAATTAAGCATGCAATTTTAATAATCTATTTTGTATTCAATAATATATTGTTAATATATTTTCATTTCAGTAATACATATATCTTACTTTCTTGATTGTGTAACAGTCTACTATACAAGTATATTACAGTTTTTTTAATTTATCAATCTCTTGCTATTGTAAATAATGCTGTAGTGATTAACTTTCTATATATTTCACATTCTTTATATCCTCTTCTGGTTATTAGTTTAGGAAAATCTCCTACAAGTAGAATTTTGGGGTCCAATGAAATGCACACTTAAGACTCTTGATATGTACTGCAAAGCAGTCCCCCGGAGAGTTTGTACTAGCAGTGGACAGGAACTGTATTTTCAATCATGTCTGAAACCCTACCAAATCACAGTGCTTAGCACATTTTAGGCACCTCATAAACTGCATGAATGGAAGGAGAAGCAGAAGGTAGTTGACCTAAAAGGACATTGGTGGGAAAATGGTATCACTTGAGGAAAGGGAGGCTACTGAGGAAATAAAGAACATGTTCCGAAAATAACAGCTAGCCCAGTTAAAGTGACTGTAGGGCACACAGGGAAGATAGGAAAAGTTAAATAGATCAGTCCTCAAACTACACTAGGCATACCAAGCACTTGGAGATCTAGTCAAAATTCTAGTTCTGACTCAAGAGATCTGGGTTAGGGCCTGAGATTCTGCATTTCTAATGAGCTCCCAGGTGATGTTGATGGACTGCACTTCAAATAGTATAGAAGCAGATGATTATACCAAAGGAGCAGATTAACACTAGAGAGTCTGGACTTTGGTATTCACTTATTTGGTAGTCAATTTGAAGGAGCAGAGGTATATTAGAAGTTTCTGAGCAGTAGAGACCTAACCACTAGAGAAAAATCAGCTAAGAAAAAATCCTTATGCCACATTACCAACCAAGTCTTTCTTAGAGGACGGTTTATTTTATTTTGTTTGCCACTAATATTTTCTCAGTTTTGATTAATACTGAAGCAAACTTGAGGCTAGTTTGGCAAAATATCAGTATTTCACATATATACTCTCTAGTCTAAATATTACTATTAATAATAAAAGAGACAATTAGGTTTAAAAAAAAAAAAACAGAAGGATTAAAGTTTTGCTCTTCCTCACTTCTCTATCCCCTATCTTCTCTGGCCCACTCAGCTGGGGCCATATTCCTAAGCTTCTGGTCACTGTTTTTTATCACTGTCCCTCCCTGGTCACTGCTTTATCATGTGTCTAACTGAACCAGGGATCCAATCAGAAGTCCTGTTTACAAAAATGACACTAGAGTAACCAAGTGTTAAGTCTCCCCTGCCATATGTCCCCCCCCCCCTTGACTATAACTACTACTCTCAATTCAGTAAGAGATGAGTGCCAATTCTGGAAGTATGTTATCAATCACCTCAACATGCCTAGACTTCAGAATAAATAATCCCTCAGGAAAGAAGGTGACTGCACACAACTCAACAAATTAATTAATCTAACCCAGGGCAACCAGTCAAAGGAAGACTAGCCCAGACAGAGTCCAATTCTCCAAGAGCTAATTCCATGTCATCCCTTCTATCCCTGTCCTCTCCATTCATCATAAGCTCTAGATAGCAAAGAGAGATAGAAGCCAGCATTTGAATTTATTTCCACTATTCCACTATGACCTGGAAAAGGAGGGACATAGAGAAGGGACATGAATAAGGTAGGCTGAGCTCAATACCTGATCTCAGTATTTTGTGGACATCTCATCCCCCATGGTAATATGTTAGAACACAGCCATTTCCAAGGCTCTTAGGAGGCTCTTAAGCAGGAAATCACTGCTTGCCAAACCTTATGAGATCACCAAGTTAATAATGAATGAACTTACATGTGGGATGAAGTGTGGGTGCAAGTAGCCTGACAAGAAACCGGGTGACTTATGCTGTAGTAAATGAATCTTAGGTCAGGATCCTTTAGACATTTGCCATGGCATGCTCATATATTTTTGGAGTGTAAAGAGATAACCCATTTGGAAGATAGTTTGGCTATTTCTGTCAAAATTTGAAATGTACACAACCTTTTAGCAACTCTACTTGCTGGAATTTAGTCTACAAAAAACCAACATGCCAAAGAGGAAGTAAAATGGTATTTGTTTCAGCAAAACATAAGAAATTATTTAAATATCTATCAACAAGGGTCTAATTAACTATTCCAGAATATAATGAAATACAATAGAGATTTAAGAAAAGAATAAGGAAGACTTCATATGCTACTCTAAAGCTATCTCCAAGATACATTATTAAGTAAAAACAGTAAAGTAGAAAACTATATAGAACATATGCAACCATTTGTGGAAGGGAAGGGGTGCGTGGGTATGTAAGCAAGTGTGCGTGTGCGTGCGCGCGCGCACACACACGCACACGCACACACACACACACACACATTGGTAAAAGACTGCCAGGGGACCTGGGTTTTTTGAGGTTAGAGAAAGACTTTCTTTGTATAGTTCCTACCCTTTATTAATTAGTTTGTAATCATATATCATGTATTATTATTTCCAATCTGGGGTATTGTGTGTTTTTTGGCTTTTTTTTTTTTTTTTTTTTTTAAGGTTCCCCAATGTATACACTCCTTCTGAGCATGCAAGGAGTCACAGAAAACATTTACATGTTTTTCTGTGAAAGAAAATTGCAGGTCAATCTTACAAAACTAAATGTGAACATCCTAAACAAGAAATTAGCAAAGTGAATTCAATTATATATATAAAAAAAAAATCAATCCATCACAACCAACTTGGCTTTATCCCAAGAACGCAAAACTAATGTAATTTACCATACAGACAAATTAAAGAAGAAAAAAACCTATCTGATTACCAGACTATAAGCAGAAAAATATTTGATAAAATTCAACATCAACTTATTATTTTAAAAAACATCCTTGGCAAACTGGGTATAGAAAAGAAGTTCTGTAAACTAGTAAAGGCATTACAAAACAATCCAGAGTAAACATCATAATGAATGGTGAAATTCTGTTCACATGTCCTATAAGCAAACAATACAAAGGTATTTAGTGGTGGGTCTTAAACCCTTTTTGGAAGATAACCCTTTTAAAATATCCTACCTAAGCTTTCAGCATATTTCATAACATCTTACTTCATAGCAGGCGTTCTATGATCCCTACTAAAGAATCCCTGAAGTAAAGACTTTAAAAAAACATGTAAAAACAGGAATGCATTCTTTCTTTTTTTTTTTTAAGTTTATTTATTCTGAGAGAAAGAGAGAGAGCATGTGTACACACGAGAAGGAGAGATGTAGAGAGGAAAGACAGAATCCCAAGCAGGCTCTGTGCTGTCAGCATGGAACTCAACGCAGGGCTGGAACATGA